TGCCTTGGAAGTTCATTTTGGCAACACGCGTTTTTAGGCGGGAGGGCGAGGTTTGGTTTTGCGATTTTGGCCAGGTACTCTGGGGCGTACGAGCGCGTGTAGTCTGGATTCACGTTGTTGGGCTGGGTGGCGACGCCAATTGGGTGACCGTTGAGAGACTGCCTGTTCTCGGGCAGACCGAGGTTTTGCAGCGTAGGGATCCAGGTGGTCTGATGTCTGGGGAAGATGCGATTGATCAGGGTGCCAATGGGGCCCGTTTTGCCAACACCCTCGCTGCCGTACAGCGGTGATGGCTGAAATGTCTCAGCCTGCAGCATGGCCTTGTACAAGCTATGCCAGTTCCACCCCTTGTTCCCCAGCTTCTCCTCCCAGGCATCCAGTTCGGCCACGGAAGTACGATCCCATGTCATGAGGTTGAGGGCGGAGCTGCCCCCCAGCACCTTGCCACGGTTCTGGGCGAAGACGCGGTTGTCTGCAGCCGGTTGGGCGACTGTCGTGAAGTTCCAGTCATATTTGCCGCCGAGAGTTGAGCCTTTGCGTCCTGGGACCGTAATGGCTGGGTCTTGACGGCCATCCGGTCCAGCTTCGATGACCAAAACACTGAGGTTGGGCAGGCCGGCACTGATGCGGGAAGCAACGGCAAGGCCAGCAGTTCCTCCACCCACCACAATCTAGATGCATGCAATACATATAGATTAGTATTTGACACTTGCGATACGAACGATCAGCAGGGGGGCCGGGATCCCATGCTGCAGTAGGTACTGGAAATGGCGTCGTTGGCTAGGTGAAAGGGTATAAAACAAAAACTTACAAAATCGTAAGCATTGGAGTCGTTGGCGGCAACCGTTTGGCGCCTGTCACATCTTGTTACAGCCTGAGCCTGACCAATCAGGCCTGAAAGCACGCATGTCAAGGCCCAGAATCTCATCTTTTGTCGTTGGTTGGCCCAGCCTATGCTGAAACAGATGGGGGAGCAAGAGAAGACGGTCTCAGACTAGGTGGCTGGGGAATTAGCAAAGCCAACGGCGAGAGGGGAAGCCTAGAGGGCAGTACAGGAACAGTACCTCTGGGATGGGATGATGTGAGAGGAGGCGGAAAATTTGTCGGATATCTCTTTTGGATAATTCATATTCGCACCGGTACAGGTACTTAGCTTGCTAGCTAAGGACTGCATGTTCTGGGTAGCTTGCAAGGACCATGTTCTTACCATACGGCTGCTAATGGTGGCTAATAAGCATCTGGTGCGAGTTCCGATTTGCTATCATGCCTTGACTCTCGTGTCTACACCACCGCACTCTTACCGAGAACCTTCTGACGGGATCGACTCTCCCGAATAAGAAGACGACAAGGGCGCAAGGGGCGGGCGGCTTGCCCTCGACTTTTACCCGATGCAGGGACCGCATTTTGCCTTTGTACGATACCTACCGGTACCGTAGCCCGCTGCTGGCCCCCCAAATGTCCTCGACCTCGACCTCATCAACAATGACTAACTGCCCAGAGGAGAGGTCCCCACTATAGTTATGGAGAATGGAAATGTGGTAGAAGTATGAATTCAAAACTAATCTAAAGGGGTGAAATAACTATATAGACGCGTCACGCGATAAGCGCTAGTCCTAATTAGGATGTAAATAATAAACCCTCTATCGTTACTAGTATTAGATAGTCCCTGCCTATTACTAATATCGCTGTTTCCTTGCAACACTCCCCTTAAACGGCTATGTAGAGAAGCCTAATTATAATAGTAAATACAGGTAGGGTAAGTAATTTTATATAAATATCTACTATATTCTATACTAAGGGTATATATTATACCTTAAAATTACTATTTAAATAGTATTCTTAAATATAGTAGAAGTAAACTGTAATATATTTTAAATAAGTGTTAATTTAGTAGTCCTAAATTAATACAAGAGCTAGTTATAAATTAGTCTTTAGGATATAGGAATATAGGAACGTCTTTATTATTAGATAGAGTTTTAATAGTTCTAATAAGGTCCCTTTTATCTATATTAGATATAAAGTAGTATAAGAATAAGCTATATATTCTACTTTATATATAGATTTAGTAATATAGGATTATTACTTAGAACTCTATAATAGAGTAGATTCTCTTATCTAAAGGATATAACTACTAGTAGAGCAAGTATTATCTAGGTTATAACTATAGGAAGTATTATAGAATATTATAACGTGGTTAATAGGAGGTATCTTTAGCTAGGGAGGCTAAATCTGTGAATTAGTGTTGCCTATTCTAGAACGCTTAAAGTAGAGCTTAATATTAAGGCTTCCCTTAATATACTAAAGAACTTAGTATGCAAGTTTAAGATAGAATTTAGATAGGTTAGAATTAAACTTAGTAAGAGCTATAATTAGGTAGGCAAGATCTAGTCTTGTACTAATAACTAGGTAATTAAGGCTACTAATTAATCTCTAGTACTCCTTCTAGATATTAAGATTAATTAGAGTGTCCTTTACTTACCTTAGGGTTATAGAATTTATATCTAGGGGGGTTTTATAAGAGTTGCATTCTAATATATTAAATTAATAGAGAATCCTTTTTATATAGGCCTTCTATAACACACACAAGGAGCTATTTTCTTAGTTATAGTATATTTCTAAACTAAGGAGGTAGTATACTATACCTAAGTCTTTATACTTAAACTCTACTAAGATAGTAGTTTTAAAGTATTAGATATTTATAGTATTCCCTAGGAGAAGTAAATTATTAATATATATAGTAATTATAATTAGCCCTATAAATATATAAGGGTTAAATATTAATTACGTGTACCTAGTAGATATAAGGTAAGTCTTTAGAAGGCTAAACTATTTACGTCCTAATTATTTTAGACTATAGAGAGATTTATTTAGCATTAGGGCTTTCCTTTATTTTCTATACTTAGGGGGGTATCTTATAAATAGACAAAGATTATTAGATAGGGTAGTATTTAGGTAGGCTATCTTAAAATTAATTTAGTTAATATCTAGATTATGCTAGATAGCCTAATAAAGGAGAAGTTAGAGAGTGTTATACTACACTACTAGAGAGAAGGTTTTATAGTAGTTAATGCTATATATTTAGGAATATCCTTAGGCCACTAGGTAGGCTTTATACTGCAGGATTTCGCTAGTAGGTGCTATCTTAATATTAAATACCTAGAGACTATTAATAAGATTACCTACTTTAGAAATATTAACTATAGTCTAAGTTCTATTTGCTTTATGTAATTTTAGTTCTTTATTAATAGCTTCCTCCTATTTATCCTAGTCTAGATATTGTTGTGCCTTCTTAATATTACGTAGAATTGTAACAATAAGGCAGAATTGCCTGCCTATTGTTCCATGCCAAGTTAGGCCTGATAAAGGCCCGACTTACTAATATATATAGAGAACAGCTCGCCTATAGTTAGGATAGGTATATTCTTCTTATCTTTTTATACAAGACCTATAGGTGTAGGAATCTTATCCTTTTCTATACAGACGCGCACTCCTATATGCCTTTAAGTTGTATAGGATACCTTTTAGATGCCCTACCTACCTAAGTTATTATATTATAAGAAGAATATTATCCTAGCTAGTAATAGTATTTAAGAATATTGCATTTATTATTATTTTAAGCTACTAATTTAGTTCTAGTAGCTACCTAACCCTGTAACTCTATAGTTAGAATAGCTATTAGAACTTCTAACAACCAAAGCCTATAGGCTTAGACTTCTAGACCTATAGGTAGTGCTAGATTACCTTTAGAAAAATCGCGTTAGATTACGTTAAGGTAGAGACCTAGAGACTACTAAAAGCCTAGAGGAATTAGAGGCAAAGCTAATATCCTCCTATAACTAAACCCCCCTAAAGAAAAGATTTATTATTCTTATTAACTATAAAATATTAGATAAAGGCAAAGGAAGGGTATCTAGTTTAGCTACTTTAAAAGCCTATTTACTAATAGAAAGAAATTAGATAAGGAAGACTTAATTAATAACGCCCTCCTTAAAGGACCTACTTCCTATCTATCTCTTAAGGTACCTTGTGCTCCTAGGAAATCTTAAAGTAACACCTCCCTTAAAGATAAATATATATTAACCCTATCTAAAAAGGAGAGGTTAGAGGAACAAGTTAAGCAACTTACTAATTAGTTGTACAACACCTCCCTCTATAAGGAGATATAGGGTACTACCTAACCTAGCTAGTCTTTAGCTTCTATATTAAACCCTATAGTATATACTATAAAAGCTAAGAGATAATCTAAAAAGACGCTAAATATCTCTATACTTAGTAATAGTGCTAATCCTACTTTTAGATAATAGCAAGCATCTATTTAGGATAGGCTAGAGATTAACGCTAATTACTACCCCTCTTCTATAGCTTAGATAGCGTTAGTCTAGGGACACTACTTAGGACTAGCAAGAGAATACTTAGAGCTATATTACCTATCTAATTCCCTAAGTCTTTAATTTTAAAAAGCTAAGAAAATAATTATCCTCCTTTAAACCTACTTTATTACTAGAAATAAGATAGCTAAAAGTTAGACTATATTTAACCACCTGTATATAACTAATATAGAGACGTTCCCCACTTTTAAGTTATAATTCTAGAGTCTTGCTATTAGAGGAGAAGTACCCTAATTAGAGTAGTATTACTACCTCTAGATAAAGATTATACCTTCCCTAAGGATACTAAACCTTGCTTTCTAATAGAATTAGCACAATAATTTTAAGACTATAGTAGATTATCTTACTACTTTTAATATAGAACGCTACCTATACCCTACCTTATCTACTCCTATCTAGACTACTCTATTATCTAGAAAAGGACTAACCCCCTTCTAATACTCTAGAAACTAGTCCTATTTATACACTAATTAGAAACCCTATAATAGACCTTTAATAGCTAAACCTTATATACCCTACTTGTAATAACAAGGTACTACCCCTTAAAATAATTAACCCCTATCTACTACTCTAGCTACTCCTAGCGCTACTATAATAGGAACCCTAGTAACTTGCTATAATTATAGAAAGCCTAGGCACTTCTCTAGTAACTACCCTAAACCCCCTAGGATTTAGGCTATAGATATAGAACAGGTTATTAAGAATTCTAAGGAAGAAGATACTACTAAATTAACTAATTTAGATAGCTATTAGATAGGAAATAATAACACCTAGGAGGATCCTCCTTCCTAGGCCTAACTTAATATAACCTGTTAAACCTTTCCTTAACTAAATTATTTGTTAGTTCCTATTTGCTTGCACGTATAACCCTGTGCCTTAATAGATCTAGTGTTTGCCTAAACGCTTTAGTAGATACTAGGGCCTAAGGTTACTTATTTCTTAATTTAAAAATTACTTATAATATCTCTTCTACACTTAGGGTACCTATCTAAAAGCTTCAAAATAAGCATTACTATTAAAGGGTTCTAGGATTAGATTACCTCCCTAGTTACCTACTATATTTAGCTTTATATAATAGTTAGTAGCTAAAAGGTTTATAACTACCCCTTTATAATAGTAGACTTAGGTTCTTAGGATTATATTATTAGATAACACTAGCTAAAATAGTTCTAAATCCTAATTAATACAGATAAATCTTAACTAATCTAGCTAGAGAAATATCCTCTAACCTACGACCCTGCACCTCCTATTCTAGTACAACTCTACTAGCAAGTGCTATCTACTCTAGTTACCTATAATATCTTGTAAAGAGACGCCCTTTAGGATTAAGAGGAGAACTAGAACTAAAACAGTCCTAGTTTAATTAACTAGATACGTGGTATACTTAAAATTCTAGCCACTTATAGGGCTGCTACTAAACCTATTACGCTACCTACCCTAGTCTAATTACTAACTATTACCCCACCTGTAAAATTCTAAATTACTACTATTTCTACTAATACTTTCTATTTTAATATAAAAAAATCTTCTAATAAATTCTTTACTACTAGCCTATATAAGATTAAGCGTAGGATCTAAACCCTATCTAAATAGGATACTCTTAACACCTACTTGTTAGATTAGAAGCTCCTATCTAACTATAACTCCTATTAGGACGTCTTTAACAAGGCTAAGGCTAACAAACTTCCTATCTACTAGCCTTATAACTATAAGATAGTCCTAGAGGAACCCCTTCTAAACTACTAGAGTCCCCTCTATTATTAAAATACTAAGGAACTCTAGGCTACTAAGGAATATATACAAGAGCACCTATAGAAAGGTTTTATTAAGACTAGTTAGAGCCTATTTACCTCTCCTATCCTGTGCGTTAAGAAGCTAAATAGAGGCCTTAGGATCTATGTAGATTACTGTAAGCTTAATAGCTTAACACAAAAGGACGCGTATCTAATACCCTATATAGATAATCTATTATCCTAGCTAGCTAAAGTAAAAATCTTTACTAAGCTAGATATTCA